ACATAGAGCAGATGCTGGATAAAGATGAAGCTCTCTAGAGCGCATGTGTCGACCGCCTGCATTCGTGCATGCTATCAAATGGAGTATACTTTGAAAGTCTATGTGTTTGACTGTATGCTAGCATATACGCATAAAAAGCTTAAGTATACTTTAGGGTTAAGAGGATGGTAGGACTTAAACCCCACTTTCCACTCAATGGCATGGAAGATTTCATTTCAGTGTGATCAGATTTATGTGGACAAACAGGCTGTTTTGACCTGGTAGTAAATTTCATAACCTTCATCTCTTATTTTGTCGCATTATATCACTTTTGCGGGAGTACCAAGTGCTACGCATGAATACTATTGAATGAACAAACCCTTGTTACATTAAAATATTAAATTAAAAGACAACTACTCACCATGAACTCCAGTATGTTCAGTACTAGTGTTAAGGACTACAAGGCTCTTGCCATACATGTCTCGGACTCTCCCATCAGCACCACGTGGCCCACCAAACGCCTGACTTATGGCAGTGTCTTTAACAACAATGCACCGTTCCCTTTCACCTCTCTCCATCTCTTCTTTTGTGGCATCAGTACCTGGAAACACAACACGATGCAACAAAGCACTAATTACAGTTAACACACTGTGACTTTCTATATATGTGCTTCTGTTATGTGTGTACATTTCAGAGTGCGAGTAAAATCACTTAAAGCAAACTTCTGTAAAGATACAGAACTCAAACATGAAGACAGAGAAACTGCAATAAAGCTGATAATCAAAACTGTACACCAGCTGGTCTATCGCCCACCCCTACATAAAAGTATTAAATAAATTGAATAATCAAGTGTGTAACTAAAACACTGTCTTCAATGTATGAATCAAATATGAATTGATTCTTATTCATGATCCAAAAAATGATTCAGTCAAGCGCGGTGAGAGATTTTCTCTCTGTCTTTGTGTTTTATTAACATTAATGATATAGACAGCAGCAGATTTATTAGAATGCTGTCCCTTTAAGACAGTGATGCCTAGTGCGATTCTTTCCTGTAAACCCGGCTCTTTCAGCCAGATGGATTCAATGAACCGGTAAAAAAAAAAAAAA